TGCTCTGTTTCATTCATGAAATGGGACATTTCCTCTTCCTTTTTTTTAAAAATTGTGTTTATTTTTTTTTAAATTTTGAAATCACCATAAATCTATTTCCAAGTCATTTTCTGACCCCATGTTGATACTAACGGATAAATCAAATTTGAGAAAATAAATCTGTTATTCATAATAACATTTAACTGTTCATACACCCTCATTTCACGTTTGAGTGAATCAGTATTGGTTGAAACCAACATCAGTGTACATGAAGCATTACTGACCAGAAAACATCACAAGGCGTTTAAAAAGCATGTGGGTCGAAGCAGGTAGTATTCAGGCAGCCGTCGCTAATGAACCGGAGGAATTTGTCCCGTGGGGATTTGCACGGAGTTGATGAACCTCTTCCCTCTGATAAAAACCACACATTTTGTTGTAGACTGTTCACCTGATTAGCCGTGTATAGTTGATGAAAACGGAGGCAAATAATATAGAGGCCAGGTGTTAGAGGTACAGCCCCTCCCCCTCCAGAGGGGGTCAAAGTCAAAGAAATTTAATCAGGATTAGTTTCTCTTCACGAATACCCGCCATAGGTTGCTTCTGTGTCCCTGTATTGATAACGGCCTATATTTACAGGCGAACATCGGACTGGAGGGCAGTAAGCTATGATTTTGCCCGTCACACCGCTGTCAAATGATATTTGTATCCTCCTCCTTACTGGCTAAAATTCATACCTGCAGTGACAGATGCCAGGGCTGGTCAATATAGTATGGGATGACCATTGTCCAGTGCTACACTGCCACCGGTACAGGTGGACATTTTTGTTTTATCTTTTATACCTTGGAACACCGAACAGGCAGATTGATCTCATTACTGCTCGACGCGTGCCAAAATACCTTTAAATATGCTAATAAAACACTCTGTAAAAACTCCAATTAAGATAGTTGCCTCCAGGTCGCACGCGCCTGCCCGTGGCATGTAATTTTCCTTAGTGTCCTTAAAATTGGGTCTTTTACATGTCATGTTCCAAAGTGTGCGTGCATGTGTTGGAGGACGGCGAGAAAGAATGGGGAGGGAACAACAGAGAGTAGTCGAAGAGTATTATAACATCAATTAATCCGAATTAATTCGATGTTTATAAGACGTTTTGTATCGAACTATTAGAAAGAGAAATTAAGAAAAAACGAGTTTCCCTATTTCTACTGAGCATAAGCGATTCCCTTATATCTACTGAGCATAAGCGATTCTTTTATTTCTACTGAGCTTAAGCGATATCCTTATCTACTGAGCATAAGCGGTTCCCTGATTGCTACTGAACCAATCGGTTCCCTGTTTCTACTGAACATACGCGATTCCCTTATTTCTACTGAGCATAAGCGGTTCCCTTATTTCTACTGAGCATAAGCGGTTCCCTGATTTCTACTGACCATAAGCGGTTCCCTGATTGCTACTAGGCATAGACGAATACATCTGTTTCAATATTCGTCATTTTGAGTTTTGCTTGTTTTGAAGACAATATAATTACAAAGATCATGTGACAGCCCGATTTCGTGGTTTATTACAGTGATCCCCCTTCGCAAGGCCCCAGACAGCAGACTTTGATGTACCGTTAATTTGGCATCACATGCACAATCTGACGACATAAAATAAAAACAAAACTACCCATTATGATATGAAATGTCATAACGCTGGCACATACATATATTATCATGCGAATTAACGGTGATTTTAGCCTAGCATTGACAGTTTATCCAAGATTGGATAATTGCCAATATGTTTATGTCATCCTTGTCTTGCTTAATTAACTAATTGACAATAATTAGCTGGAAGTATTATATATATATATAACAGTACGCTACACAATGACATATCAATTTTGGAAGTTGTACACGCTGAAGTTGTTTCTAAAACCACTATCTGTTAACTAAGGACACCATGAATGGACCACCAGCATTGTCCAGGTCCAACCAATCAATGTAGGTGTAATGATAGTCTCGGTGAACCAAGCATTGTTAGCTTAAATCAACCACGAATCATTAATTTTATACATTTTGCATCAAATAAAAAAATAAATATAAATTCATATTTCATATTATTATGAACAATCTGAATCCAAATACGTACACAGTTGTTCATAATTTGTTTAAGTATGAAAAAAAACCTGTTAGGGATTTCTCTTACATTTATCTAAGATTAAACTGAAGAGGTTGTTTCCTTGGACTCTTTGACGCAAGACAAGCTGGAGACGTCTGGACGGTGTACCGTGAACCGTAGTTGCACTACGATAGTTTTTCTTGCACGACATTCATATCTGACTGGACGTATGACATAACTTTATAAAATATACGTAGTGCTATTGTTTTACAGTGATGAACCAATGCGTTGAAACCTTACATCGTGTAAACTATCGCAGGCAATTCCATCAGATACCTGTCATTTCCGAAGTCGGGGGTATTTATGAGGATTTAATTTGTTTGGATTTGCATCGGAGTAATGAATCCAATGGGTGAATACGCCTACGGAATTACATATCACGATTTTATCAGAGAATATTTAGTCGGGAATAATAACTCTTATAATAAAAACATATTTTTAAATGTAGCACACTAAACGATGGATGCAAATAGAAAGTCATTAATAAAATCAGAATTCATAAGGATTTATTCTCGCGTACATGGTTTAGAACAGGAAAACACACAAAATCAATAGCAGAAACCATACGAAAACACTACTGCATTGCAACGTGGAAGATATATCAAAAACTGTAGCAGATGGTTTACCATTACAGTGTCAATGATACATGTTAACGTGCCCTTATCGAAACTAAGTAGCGTACATGGAAGATAAATATTGCGTTTTAAATAGTAATTGAAAACATCAAACAATATATCATAACGCTAACGAAATTGGAAATCAGAGTTGACGTGAATAGACAATAACTGGAATGTAATAGGCACCAAAACAAAAAGAAAGACATCGCCCTCTTATCAACTTCTGAAAACCATATAAGGTAATATCGAACAGTAAAGCTTATCAAAGATACAATGGCAATGCAAGGCAACATTGTCATAAAAATCGATGATGTCTTAACATGACAAACAGAATATTAAGATTTCATTGGATCCTTTAATATCGTGAGATGAAATCCCTTAACAGATAGCATAGGGACGTCCATGTGGAGACAAAAACCCAAGTATCACGTGTCCTTAAAGCTAAAGTAGATCAGAGAAATAGCTGAGGTATGGTAAATTGTTTTCTCTGATGTTAGATGGGGGTTTTTTTTTATCAAAAGAAGCGTTTATCACAGTCAGTTGGTCAATCAATAAAAGACCTTATATATCGCGCGATATTACATGGCAATTCCCTTATATAATAGTTGTGATGATTTCGTTTGATTTATAGGAACAAAGAATAGACAGGAAGAATTGACCTTTTAAGTACGGTTTTATAGCACCAGATAGGCAGATATGTCCTTGATGTTACAATAACAGGAAATATATCAAATTAGTCTTATCTTTAATTTACCCCGTATCACCATTACTCAACCGTTTTCATTGTTATCACAGTTATTTCATTATCGTTTCTCAAAATAAAATAAGATATGCATTTCAAATACAATTACATGAATGCCTTGGCATAAAACTCATGTCATTGTTTGACTAGCTTTGAACATTTTCCAAATTATTTTTTATCAATGACATTCAAGACTTTGTTCCTCATTGATTCGAGTATGTTTTCATGATATTTGTTTTGAAAGGTGAAAGTTTATATGGAACAATTCCGTAGGAAAATGATTTTATTTTTGGTGTTACGAAATTTTGTTTAAAGATTGTGATAAAAATGCAAACTGAATAGAATAATATTGTTTCTGGTTTGTTAGTCAAATCAATCAAACCTACCATCCACTTCCAATTTAAGTATGTAGTAGCGTCACAGTATATTACGAAGCTATTTAGGTAAAAACCGTCACTAAGTATGGCCGAAATGGTCGTGCAATCGGTCAAGTCTACATCTATTGTGAACAAGTACATGTACGTGCTGACCAGGTGAATCACGACTTCCGCGTGAACTTTGCGAGTAGGCAAAACGTCTAGTTTGACATAGTTGGAAAACTATCCGTCCCCTTTTCTTCAGAAATACCAGAATACAATTTTAGAAGGCGAGCAAATAAACTAATCAAACACCTCTGACTGTGCTTTCTGTAACACTTTAACATTAACAAATTGAAAGCAAGATATATGAAAAAGCTTGTCTGCATGAGGAAGCACTGTTTATGAATGTAGAGACAAAAGGGATACCATATTGGTTTTTTTCGTCATCGGTCTATTTTATGGACCTAAAATATATCCTGTTAAACCCCTGGATCCACAAATCACCATACTTATTTGTAAAAAGGACGAATAGGAATATCGTCCATCATATATATATCATCCGTTTTGCTCTTTGTCAAAGAGAGTACATCCGGGTCGAATGCAACTAGTCAGGAGTTTTATGTAGCATATACATGCCTGGGTGTTCAGGTGACCCTTTCGCCTATGGAAGTTTTAACCTTGTTGAAGTTGTCTGATGTGGTAGTATTTTGTGTGGTTTAGTAACCATAGGCTCCTGTACTTCGCTTCATGGAAAAGTCGAAACACTTCAATCTAATCAAGATAGTATTCCGTACATACTGATGGCCGAAACTATTTAACAATGTCATAGCTTGACAAAGGGACCAGTCGGTTTCGAAACGTTGCTACACGTTTAGTGCGTACTTTGTTTGCGGTTTGAACCGATTAAAGACGACCTACGAACTAGGTTGTGATAAAGCGGTATATAAGAACCTCGAATTATTATTATTATTATTAAAAAGTAAAACTCTGATATTGTTTACCAATCTTTTGTGTAAATTTCATCAATTGATTAAAACGTAACTCATCGCAAAAATACGATATATTTTCACATAATCTATTTGCTTAACACACTCAATGTTTACTTAAGCGTTTGAGCTACATTCATGTTGCTTTCTCTTTTCTTTCCAGCCAGCAAAGAAGCCGCCTTTTCCTATGCAGTGACGTCAGCAGGAGTAACGTATGCAATCACACAAGCTTGTAGTTTGGGGAAATTAAAACGGTGTAGTTGTGATAAGTCTAAGAGGAAAGGCAAATTCACGTCCCGTGGTTGGAGGTGGGGCGGCTGTAGTGCGGACATAAGACACGGACTTAAGTTCGCAAAGAAATTCTTAGACGCTCGTGAAATAGAACAAAATTCAAGACCATTAATGAATCTCCATAATAACAGAGCGGGCAGAAAGGTGAGTTGTTTTATGTTCATTCAGCTATATTTAATCTTACACTGTTTTTTTTTTTTTTTAAATGTAAGAATTGTCTCTCGAATTAATACAGTCTTGACATTTTCCTAATCATTGTTTTATGTGTCACCCTGGTAAACTACCAGCCGCTTCCTACCGACTCGGCTAGGGAGAATTTCTCTTTAGATCATTCGGTAGAGTGTACGACTAGTAAGTCAGAGGTCCCGGGTTGGACTCCTAGCGGAGGCATTGAAAACAAAATTACCTCTGTTACATATGTAAGTTTTGGAAATGGATTTATATTTGTTGTAAAACATGTTTCCAAATCCTATTCAAACAACTATGTATTGTTTTATATTATACTGTAAATGCAAATAGAATTGAAATACAGTTTGTATTGTATTAATTACAAAAAAAGAAAGACACAAACCCAGTAATGATACAACAAGTGCGTGACACATATATAATATCAAAGTTTTTACTTTATACACAAACAATGTACGTATTTAACGTGTCGCAACTTTTTAAGACCGACTTATCCTTATCCTCATCCTTTTTTAAGATATGTCTGGGCTTTAGGGGCCAGTCGGTCTTAAAACCTTTCGACACGTTTTATATGAACATTGTTTGTGTATAAAGTAAAACGTTGATATCACATATTTCCAACCTAATGAACCTTATTGAAGGCGTAACATATTGTTAAAATAATTCCTTTATTATATTTTTTTCTTCGTAAGGATTCGATTACAAAGATATTATTTTAAACCTGCCTTTCACTAATTGGGCTTGATATAATATCATTTTATTTCACCTCTTGAGTATGATATTATGCAAATACGTGTTCACTTATCCTTACGTACCTATACACCCCTAGGACATCTAACTTAAATTTTCTAACGTCATTTTCAAACCAAATGTATATGGATACTAATGGGTATGCGTCGTTAATCTAGATATTAATATTTCTATTTCATTTTAAAATTTTACGAGCAAAAATAAGCCATTAGTCTTGTATGCACGGATAAACACGCACCAAGTGGCATTCTTTAGAAACACGGAAATTTCATTAACGCATTGACGGAAATTTAGCTACCCAAAACCCCGTGACCGCACGCATTTACATACATATATTTAACATTTTATGAGTATCATTGACAGTCCCCGTATTACCACAGTGCGTGCGAACATTTCAACATATTGGAAACGTTTAACTCTCATTTCCACCCCAGTGTAATCGCGATTCTTTTCCTATAACAGTTAGTAAAGAAATTACATAGAGAAAGTTTAAAAAAGATAAACCATGACATTAGTCTTGTATTTATTTTTTCGAAATAAAGAAGATTGAGACCAATGATTTATTAATAAAATAAGATATTGACATTAAGTGAAACGCGATTTGTATTCCTTGTTATAAGTGCAGTAAGGACGTAGATAATGTATACAGTCAAAGCTCCGCTGTCCATTTATATTGGAGTCTGTATCTTCCAAGGTACTATTTCTTGTCTTTCATTTTGTTAGGTGTGTCGATGATAGTCGTATTTGTGGTTTTATTTCTTATCTTTCCTTTTGTTAGGTATCTTCACATATCTACTTCTTGTCGACTTCTATGTCGACTTTTTGCTCCGATGTGATGACACTTATTTTTTCCTTTTTTACTTGATACTGTCTGTAGTTCAAATAATGTTATGTATATGAATTTTTGTTTTGTTCATGTAACCCGAAGTAACTGGAAGTCCATTATACAGGTGGGATAAACAGTCTTATATCTTGTACTTACACAGGTTTTCCCCTTTTATTTCACCTTGTGTCCATAAATTGATACAATGTATATAATCAAGAACGTTAAGTTACAGTTATTGAATGTTTTACATTTTAATTGACTATTTTGATAAATTGGTATTAAACAACCTACCTGTATAATGCTTACTATGAAATGTTGGTGAACAAATCAAATAAACAATGAAGATACAATCTTGCTATTTTGAGCGACATACTCTTGATTGATTTCTAGAAATCCGCTACAAAAACAAAGTCAGAACATGATATTACATACCGATGTTCACCGAACTGTTAAATCATGCTGTGATTGAGTTAAAGAATGTCGTCGGCTACCACAATCAGGTATCCTGGTTTCTAGTTTAGTTGGATAAAGAACGTCTCCTCACTTCTTGCTGTTGTCTTTCCTTTTATTTTGGTTTCTCCTCATTTCCAAATATCGTTCTTTTTGCTTTGATGTCTTTACAGTTCCTGTACCTGTCTTTCGAACTGGTGTCCCCACAGTTCCTGTTACTGCCTTCCTCAATTTTTGTATGTCTTTTGTGTTGATGTCCATACTTTTACTCTTTGTTGGTGTCTCCACAGTTCCTTTTCCCATCGAATTTCAGTAAGGAGTATATTGTCCTTGTGTATATTTGATGTGTTATTATCGTTTTCCAGTTTTGTTTTACTTGATGTCCTATACGATTTTTGTTATATATGAACTGATTGGTTGGTTGTTTGCTGAAGGTGATTTATTACGAGACCGTTATTAAAAAAAATCTAGATAAAGGTATATGCAAACGATCAGATTACGAGTAGATCACAAACAGTTCAGAATTACGTATACCCCAATGCTTTAAATGTGTCCTCAGTTACCATGTCAACATAACATCGTTCAGCTCTTTCAGGAAGGAAACTAGGTATCATATATCGTTAAGAATAGAGGAGCTAATTAGTATGTTTTCCTTTAGATGGTGACACAATGATATTGTGTAGGATGTTATGCTCACGGAAATTACACATCATGAAAAATCAAGTATAGCTAGTTGATGCATCATCATCATCGGTCATCGCCGCTCCTCAATCACGAGGTGTCGACAATAACCGGTGGGGACCCCCTAGGATTGTAAAAGTATTGTCCCATGCTCTGATTAGTCTGATCAGTGCGATCATAATTAAAACTGTTGTTCCCAGCTGCTAAATAAATGGTACTTCATACCATTTATCCGTGTTATATAAGATATTTGTGAAGGTTCATTGATGCTTTTCCTTTTGTTTTCTTGTCAGTCCCAATTCTTGTACTTTTCGATTTTTACCGACTTTGATTTCGATCGGTATATACAGTTGTGTATACATTCACGATATTTCATCGTGATATACTACATGACGTAGTAGTTTTGTTTAAAATATTCGAAAATCTCGCTACTATCAACTCCCCAAATAAAGTACTTAAAAATCATGCCGAGTCATGGAGGAAAACTTGATACAGATAACAGTTTGGAGTTAGTCTAAATCTTGATAAACATAATATATGTGCGAAAAAAACCCAGGTAAAATTAAAAAAATATATATTTTAGATATTAATCTTGCGTACAAGGTACAAGCCACACACGGACGAATGCATTAGGTTGACAGTTAGTTAAATGGCATAGAAAGTACAGGACTTTGTGACACTACAATACTCAGAACAGAGAACATCTTTGACAAGTAGAAACTGCAAAATAAATGTGATGTCATTGGAAACAAACAAATGACTCTCTGTCAATATAAGAAATATGGATAACGTTTTGACGGAAATAACAACTTATTCTTTTTTGTTTCGGGCTATGACAAATGATATATAACGAGACAATAGGTAGTAATAGCATGGATTTAAAAGAAAATCGAATACACTTATGACCCTCAAGAATTCCTTGGTGCACTTTTATAACTCAGAGACTGACATGCACTCAACATTTCATTCATATCAGTGACAGCCATCATCGAACTATTCTGTAAATACAGACACAAATAGTCCCACACACTTACAATGACAATAGTATTTAGTTTGCAGATATCTATGAATTGCACAGAAAGCTAAAAATAACTTGTGACAGTTATTGAAACTTCTCTTTCTGCCTGACATAAGGTATGACCTTGTCATTAAAACAAAACGCCGAGAACAATATATTTGCCGTATCAGTTTCTCTGTGGGGTATATTGATACTGCTCCAATAAAGAGTCTTGGATCTGGGTGTGCGAGATAGTCATAGACCCATGCAGCTTAGTAAAGACAAATAACATAAGTAAATATTGACGAGGAGATTCCTATCGGTGTATCAGGTGAAAATGACAATAAAATCATTAACGGGCCGTAAACCCTACCTGTACTGTGATAGACGCGAAGTCATTCCCCTGGCCTTGGTGATCTCTGAAAACTCGAGTTTATACGTACGAACTAATTACTGCTATCTATTAAACTGCAATAGATAGCGGAGGTGTTGTAATATACAAGATATACGGTTTTATAACATCACCATGCTTACTTTATTTGTCCCTGTACAAGACACTTACAATGCAGTACAGATAAACATCCGCGTTTCTAAAATAAATGTAAATCTTTCTTATACATAGGTGATAAGTTTAGGTTATGTGTACCTGTCCCTACAGCCGTTTCCTCTCATGAAGAAAAAACAAATTGTGCTTTCTTTATTTTCTTCGTTGAACATTATTACTTTAACAATCGTGAACACTGTTATTTTTAAATTAGGCTACATAATTTAAGATTAATTATTTTATTTTCGTGTTCAACTCTTTAAGCAACGCTTCCTTTTATCGTTTCGTAGTCAGGAAAAAAATAAGTAAATATATTGAATATGAGAATGACACTTCAGATAGAATACCAAAGGCCCAGATTGTTGTGTGTCGATAAGACCTGCCAAGCAGAGAATTTACGTTCTCTGAATTAACTTTCTACTTTGGTCCAGTTGCAGAACTACATATCTTTTACCATTTCTCCTTGAAAGACTCAAAACATCATTATAACACAATGATAATAGGTTGAAACAAAACGATTACTTGTTACGTATGAGTTGTCTATTTCATTGGTGCTCTCCCCCCTGATACACCTGATATACGATACCAAACGTATTGTTAGCCTAGTATTATCAGTTAGTCTTATTGTCATTATAAAAAAAGTAAAGATTTTTCAGTCCTGTTAATCATATATCCTATTACAATTCTGATTCTTAATTCGGTTTCAACGT